AGCTGAATCAGAAGTGAGGCAGCTGGGACTCAAACAAGGCACTCTGATAAGGGAATCTGGCATCTGGCAGCTGAACCCACTGTGCCATAACATCTGTCCCAGAAGCAAAGATTGAGTATTCTCTACAAGTCAAGTCTTATAGTAATCTCATTAAGACAGTGCTACTTGGTTTATTCACCTGATTTCAGATATTATTTCTACAAAGGGATGATTCCCATGCAGGAAGACACCTTGGGAAACGTGAAGGTAGATTTCATCATGCTATTCAGAATGAATTGCAACTTAAAACTTAACAAATGTTAGGGTAGGCGTGTGGAGCAGTGTGGTTAACTCACTACTTGGGATGTCCAGAGTATACTGGAGGACCCCAGGACTTGAATCAGAGGGCCTGGTTAAAGTACCGGGCTCCTCCAATTCGGGTCCAGCTTCCAGGTAATATACATCCAGAAGCAGCAGGTGATGGCTCAAATACTTGGGTCACCCACATGGAGATCATGATAGAGTTCTGGGCTCCGGGTTTTGGCCTTGCCCAGTCCTGCTGTTGCAGGCATTTGGAAAGTGAATCATTAGATGGAAGATCTTTGTTTCTTTATTTCACTCTCTTTCCATCCCTCAAATAAAATGAAAAGAAATGAATAAAAAATTTAAATAAATAAAACATGAATTATTTATTTATGGAAAATTCTGTTTAATAGTTTTGGACATTTAAATGCAGGTAACTCAAACTGTAAAAAAGTAAACTGCAGATAGACAAACTACTGTATTCTATTTATAGGGACTTAGCCTAAAACTGGAATAAATGCCCAACCCATGTTGAATTGAAGGGACTCATATGCAGAGGACACACTACATTTTTAAAAAATAAAATGTCAAACCATATTCACAAATTCTTTCAAATTTATATTGTTTTGAGTGGTGATAAAGACAGCTACCATTCAAATATTTTTTGATAAATTTTTATTTGAGAGGCAGAGACACAGATAGACATGGGAGGGGGAAAAGGGACAGAGAGAGAGACAGACAGAAAAAGAACACTCCCATCTGTTAGTTCACTCCCCAAATTCCCACAATGGTGAAGGCTGGACCAGGGCCAGGACCATATGCCAGAAAGGGTAACTCAGACCAGGTCTCCAATATGGACAGCATGAATTTAATTACTTGAGCCATCAGTGCTGCATACGAGGGTCTGCATTGTTGAGAAGCTGGAGTCAGGAGCTGGAGCCAAGTATGGAACCTGCCATTCCTATAAGGGACCTGGATGTCTTTACTGACGTCTTAACCACTTAACACTTGCCCATCCTTTCAACCTTGTTTTAAGTATTTATGTATTTATTTAGTTAGTTGAAAGGCAGAGCAACACAGAGAGAGGAAGAGACAGAGAAAGCGAGAGATTTTCCATCCACTAATTACTCCCCAAATACCCCCAATAGCCATGTTTCATTCAGGCCATAGCCAGGAATCAGGAATTCCATCCAGATCTCCCACATGAGAGGCAGGCACCCAAGTATTTAGGCCACAGTTCCACTGCTCTCCCAGGCTCATTAGCAGGCAGCTGAATCAGGAGCAGAGAAGGCAGGACTTGGACCAGCACTGTGATATCGGATGCTGGTTCTTTCAACTTGTTATGACATTTTAAAAACACTTTAGTTTCCTTTGTTAAATCATTAGCTAACTCATTTGGGAAACAACATGAACTTAGGAGGCAGAAATGGTTGTGTTTGCATAACAGCCCCGCATATAATTATTAAATGTCCAAGTTACTTTGCCTATCTGATCTTCAATTATTTCAGTTGTAGAATAAAAATAGTGAAGGTACTTAGCTCATAGGATTTAATATGAGAATACTTATATGTGAAAAGTAACCAGAATAATTGGCAACACATTGGCACTTTAAAATATGCATACTTATTTCCTTTCTTCCACTCGTATATTTTTAAAATCTGTTTTTATCTTTTCTAATTGACATGTAAAGGAAGTAAGGAATTTGCAGGATATAACTAAGGTATAAGTAGATCAATCTGCTTCACCTGCATACTCAAGGTACCCTCAGTTTTCTCCCCAGTGCACTCTCTGCTGTATGTTGTACACTACCTAGATTCTGGCTGCAACTTCTAGGTGTTTGGATGGCCAAGCATACATCCTAAGCCCTCTTTCATAAGTCCAGCACAACCACTGTTTCTTAGCTTCCTTTAGAAGTATGTTATTTCTGTTCAATGTCTCCTTCCCAATGCTTCTTGCCTCCTATTATAGATTTTACCATCGTCTCCTCTCGTTCAAGTACAAGTTCTGAGGCTTACACCTGTGTGCTTCTTCCTTGGGAAGCCTGGTGTCACTGTAGAGAAAGACATGTACATAGATCAGTTTAGAAAAAAAATCAGAAAAATCTTTGGGGGCCTCAGTAGACATGTTTGCTTCAATGTATAAGAGGCTCCTGTTGAAAAGTACCTATCAGGGTAAGTGCACAGTGACTCCTGTTGTTGACTTTACCAATTGACACTCCTGTCTATGGCATCAGTAATCTCCCTATGCTCCAGTCATGAGTTTCCAAGGCTATGGAAGCCCTCTGAGTTCTCCGACTCTTATCTTGTTTAGACAAGGTCATAGTCAAAGTGGAGGTTCTCTCCTCCCTTCAGAGAAAGGTACCTCCTTCTTTGATGACCTGTTCTTTCCACTGGGATCTCACTCGCAGAGATCTTTTGCCAGAGTGTCTTGGCTTTCCATGCCTGAAATACTCTCATGAGCTTTTCAGCCAGCTCCGAATGCCTTTAGGGCTGATTCTGAGGCCAGAGTGCTATTTAGGACATCTGCCATTCTATGAGTCTGCTGAGTATCTCACTTCCCATGTTGGATCACTCTCCCCTTTATTTACTCCATCGGTTAGCGTTAGCAGGTACTAGACTTGTCTATGTGCTCCCTTTGTCTCCCAGTCCCTCCACCATGACCAACTGTGAACTGAAACTGATCACCTGGAACAGTGAGATGGCATTGGTACATGCCACCTCGATGGGATTGAATTGGAATCCCCTGGTATGCTTCCAACTCCACCACTTGGGGCAAGTCAGCCTGAGCATGTCCCAAATTATACATCTCTTCCCTCTCTTATTCCCACTCTTATGTTTAACAGGGATCACATTTCAGTTAATTTTCAACACTTAAGAATAACTGTGCATCAATTACAGATCTAAACCAGTCATATTAAGTAGAACAGATAAAAAAACTACTAAGAGGGATAATGTATTAAGTTGTTCATTAACAGTCAGGGCTATGCTGATCAAGCCACCGTTTCCCATAGGAGTGTCAATTGGTAAAGTCAACAACAGGAGTCACTGTGCACTTACTCCTCATGTAGGATCTCTATCCTTAATGTGCTGTACATTGAGATTTAATGCTATAACGAGTACTCAAACAATATATTTCACTTTGTGTTTCTATGGGGGTGCAAACTGTTGAAATCCTTACTTAATGCATACTAAACTGATCCTCTGTTAAAAAAAAAAAAAAGAAAAAGAAATTATCAATTCCCAACTTGACTCTCACTGGGATTAAACATGACAATAGGTCTGCTCTGATTTCATCATCATTTAAAAAAAATCATCTATTATTTTTCACTTTATATTTCTGTGTGGGAGCAAACTGTTGAAATCCATACTTGATGTATACTAAGCTGATCTTCTGTATATTAAGATAATCAAAAATGAATCTTGATGTGAATGGAAGGGGAGAGGGAGTGGGAAAGGGGAGGGTTGTGGGTGGGAGGGACGGTATGGGGGGGAAGCCATTGTAATCCATAAGTCGTACTTTGGAAATTTATATGCATTAAATAAAAGTTAAAAAAAAAAAAGAAAAGAAAAGTACCTATCAGGGAGTGATGAGAAGAGAGCATATGGTATCTTTGGGCACCCTACAGGTTTCAGAGAGATTTCCACCTTTTCCCTGTTGCTGGTGAACATTCCCTTCTCATTTTCCACTTGGATCATTTACCCAGTTCCTTGGCAGTACCACCTGGGAGGGTAAACTCCATACTTCTTGTAGCCTGAGTGACCTTCATCCTCTCTTCATCCTCCACGAGTTTTTTTCTGATTAGTTTTCCAGGTCACCATTGAAGCATAAACTCTATTTTACTTCTGTCAGGGTCTTCTCTTTTGATTCTTAAGAACCACAGCCAAACATTTTCTCCTATAAATCAAAGCTTTTCCTTTCAATTATTGTGTGTGATGTGGGCTTCAAGAGCCTATTTTGAAGTCAGACAAAAAAAAAGTCAACTTTTCTTTTTTACTCTGTGTTTTAAAAATCCTTGTTCTCTGAGAATTATTTTGTGGATGCCTCTGACTGAGTGTGAAAATGGCTACATTCAAATGGGAGCAGAAAGGAAAATTTCAAGGTTGATATTTGTCATAAGACTATATTTGATTTTATATTATACATATTTGCATAGATCACATCACTCCTGAAAGTCATAGGTTTGCTCTTGTCCCTCCATGTAGCCTCTCAAAGAACCTGACCTGTTATTTTGCTTATAGTAGGTACACAGTAAATATTTGTTGAATTAATTTAAAAAATGCAAGTGCATGTTTTTTTGAAAACTCAAGGGCAAAGTCACATGAAATCCTGTGGGACATAATACACAGACACTGTAATTTGGTAACCAGTTGATTCAGGTTTGTAAAACAATGGTATTTTTAAAATTAAAAACATGCTGAGAATTTCATTAGCCTTGTTCAGGAACGAAAATGTTAGTAGGATGGGTAACGCAAATTCAAGTGTTCCTTACACATCCCACTGGAATTCTACATTGAATCTAAACAAATTATGACTTGATTGATTAGATGAACCCACACAGCCACCTTGAAATTAAATTACTTATGTAAAATTAAGTATTATTATTTAGAGATACTGCAAATGAAATTTGGAAAACTATTTCGTATGTAATTTTAGGTCTGAAAGATTGATTTATCTTTTAATTTCACTGATGTTTTGTGGATGCTGTTGTCTTTATTCAGGTGAGAAAGGGGAAAAGGGGTTGCTTGGGATTCCCGGAGGAAAAGGCAAGGCAGGTGAGATATGCTCCTTTTACTCTTTCATCTCTAGAATAATCCCAAATGCATTTGTCACACAGTTAATGCATTTTAAGGAAAAACGGAAGTCTGAACAATGTGACCCTGTGCTCCTTTGGGTAAAGGAAAGGCAACTCTCCTGCCTCTCCATGGTGACTTCCAATCACATTCCACCCCAGTCATGCCTACAATGAGGGCCAGACCCTGCACCTCAGGAAGCAGCCCTCCTCCCAGGCTAAGAGGGAATGCTGCCATGTGTTCCATTCCGCTAGCATCTGAACAAGCTCCTGGCCAGCAGCTGACCAGCAGTAGACTGGCTGGCTCCACAAGGGCCCCATGGCTATGGAATCGGCTTTCCACAGCCAGGAAGATTCTCCCTGAGTATAGAAAAAAGTTTTATTTCCAGAGTTTAATGCAGGGAATGAAGGAGCTTGTTCTTGGGAAATTTCAGTTGTTTCTATCCACAGGGGTGCAGTGAACACTAGTTCTAAGAATTGTTTGACATTCCTCCATTTAGCTATGAATACGGATAAAGTCACAGATGTTTTTCTTTAAGGCTAATAAGATTACTTTTACTTTTCATACTCTCAAAAAAAAAAAAAAACAATGAAAATGTTTACATGAAACAGCCATTAAACCAAAAAAGACAATCATTTGAATATGTTTATCCTGTTCCTTACAATTTCTTCTCTCTGACAATATTAGTAGGTAGTTGAAATCATAAGTGAGCAAAAGGGAAAGGAATGCCAGTTAAAATTGTAGTTGGTCCACAAACTGGAAAACTGGCCTTCAAAACCGCAAATTGGATCTACTAATTTATAGAATCTGAACTTAGTCCTTGAAACATGCATGTTCTCTGTCAAGTGGATAATCAGTACTAACGTTTGATTGAATCTTGGTAAGTGTCCCTTCTCATGGGAGAATTGTGCGAGTTAGTGAATAATGCAGTAACTGAAAAGAGGACTGGCTGGAAATATGTTTTAAGGAAGCTGTGAAAATTTTATTCTGAGATAGGACAGACAAGTTCTGTGTTCAGCAAGAATGCCAAATGGTTCACAATGTGGCTGCAGTGGCTTGTCATATGTCTTCTTCTTTTTAAAGATTTAATTTAAAACTGTCTCTAAACTCTTTCAAAACATGTAAGATGATAATTTCTGGATTCCTGAAGATGACGGAAATTGGAAACCTTGTTTTAAATAAAAGGTTAGAATTATAGCCATTCACAGAGAGATAGTCATACTAGAAAAATATAGTAAATATTAGGGAGAGAGTTTTCCCAATTGCTGTACATGTACTTCAACAGGAATTCACGGGTTTTGTTATTTAAAAGGTACTGTGTGTGACTGTGGAAGATACCGGAAAGTTGTTGGACAACTGGACATTAGTGTTGCTCGGCTCAAGACGTCTATGAAGTTCGTCAAGAATGGTGAGCGTATTGTCTTCTGCTTTGTGCTATATATCAATTGATTTAATTCCTTTCATCATTGCAATTCCATACTCTTATCAGGAAATACCTTTGGATAGACAAAAACTTAATGAGATAGTGTCACCAGTTTAAGGTCACCCAAAACGCTAACTATCTACTCAGATTCCAGAATACCTCAAGTCCATACATTTACACATGTACATCACCTACAAATAGAAAAAGGTACTTTTCTGAAAGTAGAAAATGGTGAAAAGGACAAAATTTGATAAATTATGCCTTAAGAATAAAAACAGTCAGGAAGAGTCAGATATAACTGGCAAATCAGAAAACTGAAACAATAATGGAAATAAGTGCTGTTTCATTGAGTCCTTGGAATAGTGCATAACTACCAGTATTATATCACTGAGTTCCATTATAGTTGTTATAATGTAGGTACTATAATTAAATGGAAGCTTAGAGAGTGTACTTTGCCCATAGATCCAGAACTAATAAGCACTGGAACAGGGATTTGAATACAGGTTTCTCTAAGTCCTGCATCCACTGCATAAACTGGTCTAAGCACTATGTGTTTCTTTAAGTTTTTATGAGTTCTCATATTAATCATCTTTTTTATTCCTTGGCCATTTCCCTGCAAGAGTTAACAGTAAAGCCTTTAGTAGATGGGTCTTAGGTATTCATTCTGAGTCAGCAATAATGATGGACCTCTTGTAATTATATCACAATTGGTTTCATTTTGTTGTGATTTTATTTATTGTAATGCAGTTATATTTGCTGTATATTGTTGGAAGCACACAAATGTTATCTTGAGTTCATTCTATCTAGTGATACTAGAGGGCACAGGAACTATTTGACATTAGCTTACCCCTGTAATTATAGTTCTGATCTTAACTGAAGATTCTGTCTCTGATATGCCTGAGACTATCATGAACACACCAGATCCCAAGATATAATGTAGAGCAATAATATTTTTAAAAGATTTTTTTGGTTTATTTATTTGAAAGGCAGAGTTACAGAGAGGCAGAGGCAGAGAGAAAGACAGATAGAGGTCTTTCATCCACTGGTTAACTCCCCAGATGGCCACAATAGCCAGAGCTGCACTGATCCTGAAGCCAGGAGCCAGTAGCCTCTTCCAGGTCTCCCACATGGGTGCGGAGGCCAAGGCCTTGAGCCATCTTCTACTGCTTTCCTAGGTCATAGCAGAGAGCTGGATCAGAAGTGGAGCAGCTGGGACTTGAACCTGCACACATGTGGGATGCCGGCACTGCAAGTGGTGGCCTTACCTCTAGGCCACAGAGCCAGCTCCAAGAGCAATATTTCTTAACATTCAGTGATTATCAGAGTCTTTGTGAATTAAAGCTATGGACCCTAAAATTTAGATGTCATTTAGATGTCCCTGTAACCCAAAACACATCAAAAGACTTCAAAAAGTTCATGAAAAATACACTTAAAACTATATTTTGGTTCAAAAGATGTTTGGAAATGCATGAACAATTTTTGTATAATATTCATTTCTGTCAACTTTTAAAGACCCCTACATATGCCATATTCTAAGCTCAAGATGATTCTCACTCCTTGGTCCTGTACTAAGCTTCCTTAATAATTCAGTCTCCCTCTTGTTTATGGCAAAAAAAAAGGGGGGGGGGGTAAGTTCAATCAATGAACATGTTCTTGATGCAAGAATTTGGCCCAGAGTTGACAAATTTCTTGGTCATTCCCGAATTTTTTGTCATTCCCGAATTTTTTCAATAAGCATTTATCATGCCTTGAATTATTCTAGACACTGAGGCTGAGCAGTATCAAAGATTTGATCAGCATCCTCAAGATATTTAGAGTTGAGTTGGAAAAACACAAAGCACACATACACACACACACACACACAAAGACTAGATTATGTTGAATGCTACAAAGGAGGAAGTAGATAGAACAAAGGAAACAAAGGGAAGAGCCCATAAGAACTACTATGTCCATCCAGGGGCATTGGAAAGAATTTTTACAGCAGATACTGTTTCCTTTGCAATCTAAAAAGACAAGAGTTTCCAAGATAGAAAAGCAATGAGAAGATTTTTTCCAGGCATAAGAAGCAAGGAGTAGAGGATAGAAGCATGCTTGTGAGGCTATACATGTGGATCAGGCATAAACTAGGTTGGGGAAATCAGAATGAGTTAAGGAGGACGCTTGTTCTGATTACAAGTCCTTTTCATCATAGCTGTCTGCTGGACAGCTGCATGGGAAATTAATGAGAAAGGAAGTGAGGACTACTGGTAGAATTTCATTCTCCATTTGCAAACTAGAATGGGGTGAAAAAATTAAACCAATGATTACCTTATAACAAGAACCTGTGGAATCGTTCTTGAATGTTGAATCAATGAATTTTGATCTGGCAACTTTATGCATGTACTTGTTTTTTCTCTCTTTGAGATATGCAATGACACTTCTTTTTCTCCCCACAAAGTCATAGCAGGGATTAGAGAAACTGAAGAGAAATTCTATTACATCGTGCAGGAGGAGAAGAACTACAGGGAGTCAGTGACTCATTGCAGGATCCGGGGAGGAATGCTAGCGATGCCCAAAGATGAAGCTGCCAACACACTTATTGCTGACTACATCGCCAAGAGTGGTTTCTTCCGGGTGTTCATTGGGGTGAATGACCTTGAAAGGGAGGGGCAGTACGTGTTCACAGACAATACTCCACTGCAGAACTACAGCAACTGGAAGGAGGGGGAGCCCAGTGACCCCTACGGTCATGAGGACTGTGTGGAAATGTTGAGCTCAGGCAGGTGGAATGACACAGAGTGCCACCTTACCATGTACTTTGTCTGTGAGTTTGTCAAGAAGAAAAAGTGACTTTCCCTATGCCACACATTTGTTATTTCCCTGTGACTATCACTACAGTTATTTTCACCCATGTTTATCTTCCTAATTACACTAAAGTCATTCTGACTAAAGACAAAAGGAAATGCTAAACTGAGTTTTGGAATCTGCATCACTATTCCTCTGTGACAGTTTTGATGTTTTCATGTATGGTTTCTCATTGACCCAACAGTTCACCAGGATACAGGGGACCCAAGAGCATTTGAATTACTAGTCAAGTAGGAAGTGTTTGTCTACAACTCAAATGATGTATTCTCTTGGCATTTGCTCTGCCATCTCTCCCTGGAGCCCTATCCTCTGTGGATAATTGCACAGTTGGCTGATGATGATTAGCCTAATTTGCCTTTACTGAAAGCCAAACATATAGGAAGACCTTCTCTGACTAATGTCAAAATATACCTATCTTTGAACCCCACATCCCTAATTCTTTGAGCAGTCATGCACCATGGCCAAGTCATCCTTGAAAGTTCCCCTTATTTATAGAGACATAGAAACACCCTGAATCTCAATGTGAGGATCTTCCAGCTTCGTGACCTATTCCAGACAATGTGGAAGCCTAGACACTCATTTTGTGCTTCTGATCTATAACATTTAAAGTACACCAAGCAAGTACTTCTGACACCCTTCTGTAGGTGTACACTATTGTCTCTGGCCCTAAGATATTGATTATCCAATTAACAGGAGACCCCAGAAATCTAAAAAAAAAAAAATAGGGTTTTTTTCCAAAAAAATGTTTTATAGTACTGTTAAATTGCCCCTAGCTATTAACATGACTTCATTTTTCCTTGTCATAGACTTATCCATATCAGCTTTTAAGCTTATACCCTTAAGCATGGAGTATAGGGGAAGGGGTTTGTAATTCCTTCAGAAAACTCTAAAAACTTCAAATTGTCTCAAACATCCAGCCTCAAAGTGTAATACACCCTTGCCTCTAATATATCACCCATATTAACATTTCATGGGAAGCCTTTTAGTCTCCAGAAATCCATATTTTAAAAACTCTGAATTAGAGATGTCATTTCTAATACTCAGACATCTCAGGAATGTGCCAAGTGTGTAGTTCAGAACATGCCTAAAACTCTCATATTTACTAATCTGATAACATTACCCCTTGAACTATAGATCAAACCTCAAAGTGCTTTCACTTGGAATTTAAAAATAAACAGTTCAACAAAACTGATGCTTCAGTTATGGTTTGTGACATATGATTAGACAGTTTAAGATGCTGGCAAAATTGTTAATGAAATAACAAAAACAGATCAACAACATATGTTCACTTTAAACCATCTGTCCATGATTTCACTCATGACTAACTGATTATGAGATGGGATTTAACTGGGTTATTTCTGTGGGGCCACAGAATAAGAAGGGCCACAAACTCAGATCCTACAGGAACCAGTCCGATGACACAAATGAATGAGGTGGAAATGTGTGGCGCACTGATCACAGCTTGCCATGCTAAAGGAGTTCACTGCTCCTCAGTCACTGCTATAGTTGTCATAGAGGAACCAAGTGTTGCTCCATATCTTGATACTTCAACAGAAGTCAGAATGCTGGAACTTCATTATGTCTTCATATTTTTTAAAGGTTGGCAACTAATCAATGTTTAACCAAGATTTTAAGTCATACAGAATCTGCTAGCCAAAATTGTGATCTTTCCATTTCTCACTTCTGGGGAAAAGTTCTGAAGGTTCTACCTAACTGTAAAGAACATAATTAGAATATGATGACATCAAAGTCAAAGTCTTCCATAAATGCTTATTCAATTAAGCTCAATACAGGAATCTGTTAAATTGTGTGGCATTTATCAGGTTTTTAAACTTCTTCTGTAGTTTCTTTGGAAATACAGCAGAGGATATTGTGAAGGCAAGGCAGTTTTAGTACAAATTACACAGTGGTCTACCATGCAAGGACTATATCCTTTGGTACAAGATCATCCAAGTTCACAAGGAATGAGAACACATAAGGAACACTTGGAGGTTTTTTAAAGGGAGATAATAAGAGAGGAGGATGACTACAACAGAGAATATTGCCTAGAGGAAACACCCATTGGGACCCAGGATTTTTTCAAAGCCCCCTAATATGTGCATCCTTATTGTGTATATTACAAATGTGATTATTATTTTTATTATGAATATTATAATAACAACAGCAATTCTCTCAACAACTCATCTTTTCTGCCAATGCTCCCAAGAGAAGATGAATTTCAAAGAATAGTTATCTGCAAATGTGCAGCGAAGAGATTTTGAAAGCACCACAAAATTAGAATTGCAGTTGCAGGCGGGCGCCACGGCTCACTAGGCTAATCCTCCACCTTGCGGCGCCGGCACACCGGGTTCTAGTCCCGGTCGGGATGCCAGATTCTGTCCCGGTTGCCCCTCTTCCAGGCCAGCTCTCTGCTGTGGCCAGGGAGTATAGTGGAGGATGGCCCAAGTGCTTGGGCCCTGCACCCCATGGGAGACCAGGAAAAGCACCTGGCTCCTGGCTCCTGCCATCGGATCAGCGCGGTGCGCCGGCCGCAGTGCGCCAGCCGCGGCAGCCATTGGAGGGTGAACCAATGGCAAAGGAAGACCTTTCTCACTGTCTCTCTCTCACTGTCCACTCTGCCTGTCAAAAAAAAAAAAAAAAAAAAGAGTTGCAGTGAAAACAATATTTGTGAAGCACTTTGTGATTTATAAAATGCCTTTGTATAGTTCTCATTTTAGCCTTACAAACTGAGAAGTTAGACGGCATTTTTTACAGCCATTTGCCTGAAAAGGCTACTAAGGCCCAAACAACCTAAGTAATTTACCAAAATCGACTTATTTGCCAATTGAATGTTCTCTCCAGCACCTGTCCATTGCTCTTATATTGAATTGAAATGCATCCACAATGCCTTTGTGAATAGCAAGGGCTTACAATCTCTCTCTCTCTCTCTCTCTCTTTCTCTCTCTCTCAATTCTAAGCAAAAAAAAATGAGGATTAAATAAAATAAAGATAGCGGGAATTCTGAAACTTACCTTAGAAAGTCTGTGTTCACTGGTTTATTTTTTCAGTCACAAATGTCTACATAATAAAATAAGTATCATGAAAGTGATTCAGATCAACCTCAGTACAATATGCATATAATTGAAATTAATCTGATATATAAAAATCAAGACTTATTCAAAAGAGAACTGACTGAACTTCCCACTGGAGAAGTTCATTAAATAATTGACATTTAAGCCATTTTCATTCTCTAAATGTTAAATTTAAACTAAATTTTTCAGGGGTATGTTCCTTACAAGAAAGAACTACAGCTGTTCCAAGGGAAGAAAATGAAAAACTTGTTCACAATTTCACAACACTGCCTTTTCAAAGTATTCTTTTCATTTCTTTTCAACACATTATTTAACAAGGCAAGAAGAAATACTTTATGTCTAGAGTCATTGTCCAAACACAGTAGAAAAGTGTACGTACATGGTAGGTGGAGAAAAGTATAATAGTATTTATTGAACTTTGTACAGCTCACACATAAAAACTGCTGGAATTAAAAAAAATCTATTTTGTTCTTATATCTATGTTGCCCGATATGGGTTGTTGTGATTGTCATTAACCAACAAATTTTCAGCTCTCTGGATTACATGCTTTGAGGCCATGAGATATCTGTAGAATAGGAAAGGTAAGTAAATTAATCAGCATCACTCACAGCATCATCAACAGACCAAGACTGGAATTTTGCAGGTGTTATTGCTGATAAGAAAATGACAGTGTGATTCCACATAGGGTAACACCATTTGCCAGCACTGCTTAGGAATTCAAAATCCATTCCTAGTGTCCTGACTGCCTGATTGCCAGTGTCATTGTACCATTGACTTGTGCCACACAAGAGGAATATTTTAAGCGCTCTAAGCCTTTTTTTTTTCTTAATCTCTAGACATCAGTTCCACAAGAGAGTTGTAACAATTAAAGGAAGTATTTTAATGAGGTATTGAGCACAATGCCAGCTGGACATGTTATATGGTTGCAATAAAAGCTAGCCATTACTACCTGATATGTGACTTCAAGCTGCATGTCAAAAAGAAACAAACATTTTAAGAGATATCAAAAATTACCCAAGTGAATATATATCACATGTATACTACATACACATCAGACATTTAATATATATATATATATATATATATACAGCACGACTATGCATATACTAATTTTGGTGTGTTTGTATTCTTATTTATGGACACATTTTTTATCTTCAGGGAAGTGAATACATTTGCCAGAATGTGCACTGCTTGTTAGAATCAGTGCTGAACTTCACAACTGAATATGCTGGACTCTAAAATCCACGCATACTTTTTCTAGGATGCAATCCCCCTAAACCAGGGTTATGACATAAAAATTAACTTTGTAAACTTAAAAATGAAATTGCTAACTTGCATTACATTGAAGTTGTATGGCTACCATGATATTGCTAAGTCTTTTAAAATATGATGGGGTGGGGGAATCTGCCATGTTCTTTCAAATAGGAATTGAAGGAAGGAAACCACGTGTATTAGATAATATAAGTATCTTTTTATGAATATAGAACTTTATTTTTCTCTCCCCTTAGCAAATCATCATGCTGTCTGTATTTGAATTATTTTAGTACTTTGATAAGCCTATTTGAAAGCTTTTGCTTATACTATGATACTTTGTAAAGTGTGTGAAAAAAATGGAATTAAATGATAAGTTTGTTAGTGAAAAAATGTCTCAAATTCATGCATTATTTTTTATATATCACAATTTACATGAACTTTTTGAGACCCTCCCATAGCATATTAAAATACACCTCTCTCTGATTCCCACCCATTTTTCCATATTCTGCCTTTTGGTGTTGATCATTCTAAAGTCTAGCCCTGAGACAAGAGAAGGCATCATTCAGAGGTGCTCAAGGAAAAAAAAAATAGCAGCAGAAAGCATGTCCTAACCAAGGCACTTGTTACAACGAGGTTTTCCAGTGCTACACATTCCTCAAGCCCGAAAAGTGGGCTTCTTACCCAGGGGTTCCAATTTTGTTGATGTGTTGAAGAGACACATGTGTAGAGTATGAATTGTATTCAAAGTCAGGAGGGTCATCTCAATCATAAACAGTCTACTTATTAGGAGAGGGTATGTGGCAGACAGCATTGACAATGGATGAGGACCCCTTGAAAGGGCAGAGGGCCAGTGAGAAAATGAAGTCAAAATCATAGTTTCCATGAAACCTACATGGAAAACAACTAGGAAGGCTGTAGCTTGGATGAAGGTTTGAGATCATAAATTCATTAACTCATCAAAAGTAGTTGTGGAATATCTAATATGTTTTATGCAGCACATTATAAGGACTGGGAACCCAATGGGAAAGACAGATCAGATTTCCAGTCTCATAGGTATGACTCACTTCAGGCTCATTGAATATCTTGCCTGTGACACTGAAGCTCCAGAATCAATCCATTGTCAGGATTACATAAACCTATCCTAATTTTATAACTATGTCTGTTCCAACATACCAGCTCTTCAAAGATGCAGTGAAATAATTTGGACAAAAGAATTTTTGTTAGCAGTACTGTAACACCTTTCTTGGAGAGTAACATTGACACATCTATTCAAATTTGTTAACACGCCTATTTTGGATGACTCATTTCTGTGTGAACAAGAAGTTCCCGTATCACTGTGTGTACTCACCCACACCATTTCCTCACAAGATACATATATCCTTTTGGCTGTACATGAATGAGCATTGACAAGTAGCCAATGTTCCTTTGCCTCACTCTTTTTTCCTGGTAACCTACACCTGACATTCAGTGAAATTCAGCTTTGCTATAGATTCTCACTTTCATAATGAAATAAGGAGTAGAGAGAATAGAAGAGCACGTTTTACAACATGAGTCAAACATTTTACAATTTGTTAAAAGCTAAGTACACAAATTAATCACCATATTGGTGACTGCAGCTGAGAGGTAATGCACTTTAATGGCATCTAAACAATTTTAAAGCTGCATAGCCCTTTAGCCCATGTATTTTTTCACTTTGGGAAATTTAAACTGTGGTGGGCATTTATGCAAGTTGTTAATATACTGGTTAGGACACCAGTGTCTCATTCTGGAAGGTCTCGGTTCAATTCCAGTTCATGTTTCCTGCTGATGTGTGCCCTGGAAGGCAGCAATGATGCCTCCAGTAGTCGGGTTCCAACTACCAGTGTGAAAGACCCAGATTGAATTTCCATATCCCGGTTCTGGCCCCCTGGCTATTGGAGATATTTGGGAAATGAAATAACAGATGGGGTTTTACTCTCTCTATATCTCTCTCTATTATGTGTTATTTAACTGTCTATAACCATCTATCTTTCTCTGTCTCCCTTTCTTACTCTTTCAAATATATGAAGTATATGTGTAAAAAAAGTGTTATCTATGTACTATAAAACTCTCGAATTCTTCCTTAGTAGATCACTAATTTACATGGTTATTCCCGAATCAATAGAGAATGTGATTCTAGAAAAAGCTCACCAAGAGAAGCAGATATGTTTTAAAAGTGAGTACTTGCTGGAAATTTTATGTCTAAAATATTCTCTCTTAATCTACTGTTTTATGTGATCCTACATTTGATTTTCCTGAACTTGATACTTTTCAGAGACTTAAGCTCTAGGGTTGATGAAGTATTATTTTCCTGAATTTATATACATCACACTTCTCCCAACCACACAATTCCCCACACAATGGGGACATTATCCAGGCCCTTCAAGACCTTAAAGCTTAAAGAACAGAGTTCACAAATACAGGAAGCTATTTCCAATATTAGCCTCTGCATTGGGTTGGCAGGAGATACACTGATATGCCCAAAAATTACATTTCAGACATTAAATGAAATACAAAAAAAGGACAGTTTCTGATTAAGCTTGAAAATATATCTCCTAGGAATGCTAACCCTAAATACCTCCTATGTAACAGATTTATAAAAAAAGGGTAGGGGAGGGAGAAAATATACATGTGTGTGCCTCCACCATTGAAAAAGCAAAAAAGACAGTATCTGAGAACTTCTTTACCCAGGTAATCTATCTCATTGGGGATAGATTGGGGCATTATTTTATGGCTTCTCTCTAAAAAGTATTTTTGTTATAGACTTCTTACATTTTAGAAAATTCAAGAGCTTTCTATGCACTAATGTTCTGGCTTCATCCTTTTATGCTCCTATGAATTATCAAGTTAATATTTGTAGGTTTAAATGCAGCATGAAGCAATGGATGTGTCTTTTCAATATCACAGACAAGCCATCAGTTCCAAACGGACAGAAATTACTTGACATCTGGACCACGGTATACAAAATCTCTTTCACTGGTATCTTTACTGTAAAATTGTTTGCAATCATTTCTAAATAATTTGCATTCTTTGGAATTTTGAAACATCCTTGTGTTTAACATAATATCACTGGTCCATTAATTCCTGGGAATTACAAACTGTAGTTGTTGGGAAATGTTGCAATCCTTTGCAGTCTAGTTATTACGTATCTATTGGGATTATAGACCCTTAGTTTCTTTACTCTTCACATAACTTTTTTGACACTATGGTTGAGAGTAAAAGGTAATCTCATCTGTGTGGTGTCATGATCACTGGAAGTTAATCCATCCTTATTTAAGTTTATGGACTTAATGGCTCCTTATTTTAAGGGATCTTTGATTAGGCCTTTGGTCCAGTGAACTTCTTCCTCTCAAGTTTGATGAAATCCACCCCAATTCACCAGAATGAGACAAACTGAACCTGTAACTGGTGTCCCAGCAGTTGGAGAAATTTATCCTAGAAGAAAGCAGATATAATTGCATAGCTTCCTTCTCCAGCATCTTTCATCATACTCCTACTAAACGACACAGGCTGAAATAGCTGGTTGTGGTGGATGATTTAGAACATACTTCATCTAGTAGCAGATAGCAGAAGAACTTGGAGTACCCACTGGACTTTTGAAGTTTCAAGGGATTAAATATTTGAGATTTGTTACATATGATCATATTCTGTATCCCAGCCCTTCTACATAGTTCCTCAGAAATCTCTTGTTTGGCAGACTACATCTTCCTTTAAGACGGCTGGTGAGCGTTGTAGTTCCAGGGCCTGGCCCCATTCCCTGGGTGATCAGCAATTCTATGCACTGTCTCTGAGTTACTTCTCCAGGAAGATGGAGGCTTCACTTTCTGCTCTGCTTCTACTTTCTCAATGTTCTGCCTCATTGCTAAACTTGTCTTCTCAACTATTCTAAAGCAATAAAGAGGAGTTTGTTTCTAATCTGCTTCCTTTCAGATCCATCAGAATAAATTTCTCTTTTATCCTCATTAATGACATGTTAACCAGTAAGTCTTTGAATCCCACCTCCCGCCATGTAACAGTCTTAGCATTAGCTTACTCTAACATGAAAAGAGTGCAGTATTGTCTTTGCTGCCTTTGCTCTTACATAATCTATAGGACAATTCTTACCTCCTAATTCATATGCTAAAACTGTCTTAGACATAGAGCAAAGAAATCAGGGATGAATTAAAGAACCAACAAAATGAATGTCATGGATATTTTACTAATTAATCAAGAGTGATATCTACCAAATAATTCATCTGAGAATGTTTCCCTTCTATGCCTCAATAGAATTTCCTTAAAATTGCAATCCCACATGAGATGAGAAATAAATTGTGTGAAGAGTTCTCTTCTTCAAAAGCCCTTGTCAGAAACAATTTAGGCTACTATATGAAAAAATAATTCTGTAACTCATCAAGTCCAGTTAAGGACTTGTCTGTCAAGACTAGTCTCCAAGACTTGAAGTTCTTCTAGGCCATCAACTTTGCAATCTTGTTTTACCCAATGCTCCATCTCCTATATTTTACCCATTTGTCCCTTTATGTATTTTCCATGGGCAGTCCTGAGTATTGAATATCACAA